TATTTGCTTATTCACAAATCAGGCAACATCTCACTTAACAAGTAGAAAGATGTACAAAATGGAAGGCTTTTATATCAGAAGGATGCAGGGACCAGGATAAAAATGAATTACCTCATCTTTCTTTGGGAGATACAGATCTATATGGGATGTCATCCACTAGTGCTGACCAGGAAATTCCCAACTGACTGGTTAAAGGTCACACCCTTGGGAGGCTGAAACTGCAATTAGGTTAGGTAATAAGTGTTGTTTGCTGATGTGGGACTTAGCACGTATGACTCCATTTGGGGCCCAATTTCTTTTTTGAAAACATTGGTTTATCAACTAGTAAGAATTCTTTATATTTAAGTTCAACCTGTCTTTCAGGGATCTCTTGATAGATAGAAGATATAGATAGATAGATATGATTTTCTCCCACTTTATAGTTTCCCTTTTATATTCTTAATTCGGTCTTTGATGAACAGAAGTGTTTAATGAAGTCTAATTTATGTATTTTTATGCTTGGTATTTTGGATGTCCTTTAAGAATTCTTTGCACATCCATAGATATTCTTCTAAATTTTCTTCTAGAGTAATGCTATCCAAAAGAAATAGAATGCAAGCCATGTATGTGATGTTAAAAGTCTTAATAGCCACCATAGAACAACAACTTGGTGAAATTACTTTTAAATTTTACTTATTTATGTATTTTTGGCTGCACTGGGTCGTCCTTGCAGCACACGGGCTTTTTCTAGTTGAGGTGAGTTGGGGCTACTCTTCTCTGCTGTGTGTAGGATTCTCATTGTGACAGCTTCTCTTGTTGCAAAGAATGGGTTCCAGGGCGCTGGGGCTTCCATAGTTGTGGCTTGAGGGCTCTAGAGACTTAGGAGTTGTGGTGCATGGTTTAGTTGCCCCATGGCATGTGGGATCTTAGTTCTCCTGGCCAGGGATCAAACCCACATCCCCAGCACTGGCAGGAGGATTCTTAACCACTGGACCACCAGGGAAGTCTGAAATTACTTTTAATTGTATTATATTTAACCCACCATATCAACAATATTTAAACATGGAATTGGCAACTGAAAAAAATTCACAATGTGAGAGTTGTGGGTTAAGCTTTATTCAGGGCAAAATGAGGACTATAGCCCCGGAGACAGCCCTTCTAGGTCTGAGAAACTGCTCCAAAGAGATAGGGCAAAAGGTCAGTATATATGAGACTTAGGAATATGAAAGCAAGCACATTTTTTTTGCCACTTCATTTATGTTTTTAATTAATCACATATTTTTTTTTGAAGAAGGTTTCTGCTCTCCTTGTGAAGGTTACTGCTAGTCACGAGGAGCAGATGTCACCAGGAAGGAATTGAGTGCTTTTCTAGACACAAGGAGATGCATGAATTGGGCTCATAAAAATCATCTCCTGAAAATATCTAATTGGCTGAAGACCTGTCCTGCCAGTTTTTCCCACAGCACAGATACCTCATTCCTGATCTCCACCCTGAACTCTTTTCAGGGGGTAACGAGGGTCAGCAGCCACAGTGGGTCAGGATTTGACCTTTGTCGAGGTAGATGGCAAGTGCCAATTGGTAGGTGACAGAATCAATATTAAAATTTATGAATGAGACTCTCCTTCAGAAATGAGGGTTGGGGTAAAGTAGAACAGGGCCCCGAGGGAGGTGATGGACCAAAGTCTGAGGCTGTCTGGGGGTTACACCTTGAACCCCCCTTTTAATCCATCTCCCCCTCTCCTCACCAGCCCTAAACCACACACCCCACATCCTTGTTTCTGGGACCCTGGAGCTCGGCCGCCCCAGGAACCTGACCAGCTCCGTGCCCTGGGCCTGTGAGGTGGGCATCAGTTGCTGCCACCTCCCTGGGCCCCAGGACCCCCCTCTCTTTGGTGCTCACCCCACGGCACCAAACTCCCCTGTTGGGTGACCTCGCCTGGAGCTGAAGTGAGCACAGCGAGCCTCGTCCACCTCAACGTGTCCTGTGAGAGCTGGGCCAGGACGCCCGGGCCCCTGACGGGGTCCGGAGGGCAGCGGGGGTACCCGAGAACCATTACCCATAACCGGGGGTTATGGGCCTCGAACATCGGATCCCAGAATTTGGCCTGGGACGGGGTCAGGAGGATCCCTGCCCCATCCTTTCCCCATTTCTGCAGCTCCTGGGGACACAGGGCCCATGTTCATTGAGGCCTCACTACTGACATGGATCCGCCATGTCTCTCTGTCACAGACTTTCCACTGAACTTGAACTTGACCGTGACCATCGTCCAAGGAAACAGCATAGGTAAGAAGGCAGCCCTTCCCAGGCTGTAGGAAAGGACTGCCTCCAGCCCAGGGCCCTGTCTAATCCTTTTCCCACCTCAGTGATCCAAGACCCTCTTGTGGTTGAGCCCAGTAGTCCCTCCCCCTTCTCCGCCCCCATGACCACGGTGCCACCCAAGAAACAGAATGCTGCAGGCCCTCAGGATCTGCTGGTTCCTCCTCCCCATTGCACACCCCTTCCCTCAATAAGCCCCTAGTGAGGAAAGAGGGAAAGTCTTAGCTCAGCTGTGTCCAACTCTTAGTGACCCCATGGACTGTAGCCTACCAGGCTCCTCTGGGGTTCTCCAGGTGAGAATACTGGAGTGGGTTGCCACGCCCTTTTCCAGGGGTTCTTCCTGACCCAGGGATCGAACCCACATCTTCCGCATTGCAGGCAGATTATTTACCTGATTTCTGAGCCACTAGGAAAGCCCCAATAAGCCCCTAGCCTCACTTTAATGCCAACTGGTTCCTTGATTTTCTCTGACATTTTATCACCTGAGCATGCTGCCTTTGGTACTATAGCTTTGCAATTGCTTTTCTTTTTCTTTTTCTTTTTTTTTTAGCCATGGACTTACATGTATTCCCCATCCCGGTCCCCCTGCAATTGTTTTTCTTAAGACTTGGTATAAAGAGAAAAAAAATCCATCTGTTTTCTTCCATTCAGCTTCATGCATCTGCCCATCTTATACCCCTCACCCCTCTCCTGGAACCCCATAACCTGGGGTAGGGTCAGTGCTGTGACCGCTGAGAAGGGAAGGTGCAGGGGATAAGCGTACATGGGCATGCCCACACCATCATCAGCTCTTGCATTTTCAGCTGATATCTCATCTTGCAGCCCCATCCCCCTCTTGGGCCCCCTCTGTCCTGACCGACTCACTCTCTCCTAGCAGGGGCATTTACAGTATCTCGGTGCTCAGAAGGGCTGTTTCCCATGGTCCTTAATTTGCAAACAAAAACAGAAGAATCAGAGAAGAGACAGAGGGAAGTCATGGAGAATCTAACGGTGGGTGAAAGAAGAACTTTTAACCACAAGCCACCAGAGTTTAGGAGGACTTTTAACCCCACTTATTCAATTTGCAGAAGACTCTGAGGTCCAGAGTAGGCAAGTGAATTGCACAGGAAGTCAGTTCATCAGTTGACGGCTTAGGGTTCATTGGGCTGGGTGATAGGAAGTGTATGTTAATATGAGAGGGAAGAGCTGTCAACTCTTACCATGAGGTGAGGGAAGAAATTTCATTCATTCATCAACCATCTACACTGTACCTTTAGGTTTTTAGTAAAGATTCAACCCTTGCCCTTGAGAAAAGCAACATCTGGTTGGGAGACAAATCAGCTGACAATTCCAATGAGACAGGGAAAGTGCCTGTGGTGGGGAAACAAAGGCATGTGATGGGTGGGGCTCTTGCTTCTCTGGACTAAAGGGTGAGTTCTCAGAGAGGAATAGGCCAAGCAGACATAGTGGAGACTTTAAGGCTCTCACAAGTGGTGTGAGTTCTGCAGATGACCCTGGACTCTCAGGTACAATGTTCCCAATCCCACTCACTCTCCCACTGTGCTGGGGATCCTCCAAGTTCTGGGCTGTGTCTGTGACCAACCCCACCTCTGCACCCTTTGGGTGCTCTCTGTCTGGTTTCTGGGGGTCCCTAGGAAACGGCGATGCCGCTATCCGTGGTGCTGATTCGGAGTTGACTGTTGACTCAGAATGTCTGCAGCCTTGGGGAGGGGGGAAGGGAGGTTGACCACAAAGAACAAGGACCCTCGGTCTGGATTCAGGAGGGTCAACAATATGTCAGACGTGCCTGGAAGGGCCCAGGTCTACCTGGGAGGAGGGACTCCAGGGAAAGGAAGATCTCTATTCGTCTTCTTTGACCTTCTGGCCACCCTCAGGAGCATTCTGTGGACAATGCTAGGCTGTCGACACACTGGTCCAAGCACTGGGTAAGGTGAAAGCTTTGTTTTACCCCTTAACATATATTATCCCATTTCGTTTTCTGAACATGCCTGACAGAAAGGGGTAATCCCCCTCATCAAATAGAGGGAGCAGCTGACAGATAGATGAGTAGCTGTAGGCACTAGTCTCCAAAGAGCTCCAAACAATCCCACCACTTCCTGAAGGCAAAATAGTAATAAATTTCATTTATTACACAATGAAATTTATTACATCTTCCTCTTGAATCTGGATTGAGCTCATTACTGCTTTTACCAATAAAAGGTGGAGGACGAGATTCACACGGCTGCGACCCAAACTCAAAGGGCAAAAATAATGTGCTGTATGAAAGAAAGTGAAAGTGAAGTCGCTCAGTCGTGTCCGACTCTTTGCGACCCCATGGACTGTAGCCTACCAGGCTCCTCCGTCCATGGAATTTTCCAGGCAAGAATACTGGAGTGGGTTGCCATTTCCTTCTCCAGGGAATCTTCCCCACCCAGAGATTGAAACCGGGTCCTTCTAAAAGCCTATCGTGATCCCACAAAAGCAGATAACCAGAATGCAGCCACTTCGTCTCTTAAGCGTACGGCACGGAGACAGCTTACTGTTAACCTTAGTTAACAGTATACGCGCCGCGTCCCCTGCCCATGCGCAGGCGCAGAAGGACACAGTGCAGTGGATTTGGGGAGTAGTAGGCCGATTGAATAAGGGGCCGCAGGGACTGCTGGGAGTTGTAGGCCGAGGGCCTCAGTAACCACCCCTGCTTCAGGTGGAGCCGTCGCGTGGGGCTCTGGGAGCCGTAGGCAAGACAGCTCCCAAAGCCTTGTGGGAGTCGTAGTCTCGGAGCCACTTCCGTACAGGAGTTCCGCGTGTTAGGCAGTTTGGGCGATCCAGCACCGCGTTCTACTCAGGTGAGTTATTTTCTCCCGGAGCTGGTCGTCCCCTGAGCGCCCGCTCTTTGTCGCGGTGCCGTGTGAGGGTTGAGGAACTCTCCGTTAGTGATAACATTCGCCTCTGACTTACCAATGCTTGTATCCCAGAGGCCTACTGACCGGAATCCTCACTGTGGGCTCCGCGGTCCAGCCTGTCTCTGGCCCTCCCACCCCTCTCCCCTCGGTGGGCTCGGGGAAATTCGACTATTTCCCTGCCCTCACCTCCAACTGGATACTTCCAGGAGGTCCCTACGCTGTCCTGAAACCTGTGTCTTGATAGAATGATGTTACACACTACCCATCATTCTGACAAAGCTGCGATACGGAGGCACACTTGGGATCTGGGCCCCGCCTTCTGGGAGCACTTATTCCCTCAGCCTACAGATCTTTACTGAGCCCCGATCCTTTGCCAAATCCCTTGCAAGGCAGGGGGAGTCAGTGGTGGCTGAGGCAGACCCTGTCCTTCCCTACCTGTAGTGAGCTCACAGGACACGGGAAGGGAGACAGCACCATGAAGGGTAGCGTCGTGATCCGGTTGGGATGGAGGCATACAAGGGGCTCTGCGACCCCAGAGGGGGTGCGTGAGCCAGCCTGGGGTCTCTAAAATCTTCGAGGGGAAGATGCTTAACACACGTTTCAAATCTGACGTGTCCAAATGGAATTCTAGCCAGCCTCCTCCAAAACTGAATGTTCCCATCGTCCTCCCCAGTACTCAGGCCCAAGCCTTCAAATCATTCTTCATTCCTCTCTTTTCTCATGACCCCACCCTCCACCCCAATCCAAGTCTTGTGCAAGTCCTACGGACCCTACCTTCAAAATAGATCCAAAACCCCACCTTTTCTTGTCATGGCCACTGCCAACACCCCAGTCCAGGCCAACTTCATCTCACTGACTACTGCCCTGGCCTCCTCTCTAGCCCCCCTGCCTGCCAGAGTCTGTTCCCCACACAGCAGCCAAAGGGAGACTTAAAACCTAAATCAGATCATATGCTTCCTTTGCACAGAACCCTCCCATGGTTTCAATCTCTCTCTTAATTAAAATTAAAGCTGTATCATGGCCTATGAGCCTCTGAAAATCTGTACTTATTTCCTGGCAGAGTCTTCCTCATTCAGGAGGCAGGTTCCTGGGACCTAGTGACCATAGATTTAGGGGGAGAAGAGAGATGAGTCCAGAGTGACTTTATGCCGTGCCCTACGGAGGAGCTGGGTAGAGAGGTGGTACTCTCAGCAAGCAGGGAACAGCTGAGCAAGAACAGGTTTCTCCGTGGGGAGCAGGGGACTGGTCAGTTTGGGTACCTAGAATTCTAGAGAACCAGTGGGTATCTTCAATGGGACATTTGAAGGACAAGCCTGATGAACATCGTGATTCAGTCAGCCACAAGGAAAATGAGCTGGGCAGGAACCATGAAAGTGCCTCTCCAAAAGAGGCTGAGCAGGAGGCAAGCCAGGAGAGAGAGAGAGAATCAAGCCAGAGGCAGGGGTGAGGTGAGATGCATGGGAGGATGTAGAGAAGACCCTGGGCAGGATCTCACTGGCTGTTTTGTGGACAATTGCATGTGCAGAGGAGGGAAGGGGAGGGCAGGGAGATGGAGGAGGAGCCTCCTGCGGTAACCGGGAGAGAGACATGGCTCAGACCAGAGTTGCAGCTGTGTAGATGCTAAGGCGTGCTGGGCTTCTGGGTCTGTTTTAAAGCTACAAACAGGAATTTCTCCATTCTGGTTGGATGTATGGGGTTTGAGGTTTGAGGACATGCCCCAGTGCATTCTCAGTGGGGCATTTGGAGGAAAGGTTGGGACCTAACATTGCAATTTGGAATCACCTACAGGGAGAGTTAAGAGGGATGGAGAAAGCAGTCCAGTGTCCTGGGACACAAAGCTCCTGCCCTGAGTAGCTGGAGGGAGAGAGCTGCCCTTTAAAAGAGAAGCAGTCTGGGAAGGGGAATCGGGAATCTGGGTTCTGCGGTGCCTGTCAGACAGCTGAGTTGCACTGGCCCCTAACTGGTGTTACAGGCAGTAAGCACGTGAGTCACATAAAATGATTCCACACTTTATGGGAAATCCTGGAAACAGGGTGAACTGCTTAGAAGCTACTGCACTATGATAGTCCAGCCCAGAGATGATGGTGCCTTGGAGGGGAGGGACTCAGTCTGATGGGTTCCCCCCGCAGGTGGGTCCAAGGGAATCTTGGCTGGGTATGGAGGAGTGAGGTGGGGGAAACAGAAGGAGTCAAAGATGGGCTGATCCACCTCTTGATAAGGCCACAGAAGCTTGCGGGAGATTCTGAGATGACTGCCCTGCCTTTCAGAGGATACAATCGGAACCCATTCCTAGAGAGAGCATCCCACCCCACCAAAGTGAAAGTCCAGTTGGTCTTTCCTGTTTATCCCCCTTCCCCTAACAGAACTGCCAGCAGTCCCCTTGCCTCCTTCTATTCTTAGATCATTGACCCTTCCCAAGCTCTCTTAGCAGCCCTGGAAGCCCAGGTCAGCGACCTGTCCTTCTGATTAGGGTTGTAAGAGGTGTGGCTTCCCTGGAGACTGTGAAATGTGTCCTTAATATGCACCTCCATTCCTCCAAACAGAATCCGACCTAACTTGCCTATCTCTACCCCTCCCCTCCACCCCTCACCTCCAACCAGCTACTTCTCTCTCCTTGGTGTGTAATGGGTGTAATCCAAGAAGCCTTCCTGGAGGCACTAGCCTCCTCAAACCTCCTCAAACCTTCAAGTGTCAAACAGTTGACCCTTGAACAACATGAGTTTGAACTGCTCCACTGAGACTCAGTTTTTTTTTTCCCCAATAAATACATACAATACTACACCATCCGCAGTTTGGTTGAATCCTTGGACTTGGAACAGGGAAGATATGGAAGGCCGACCGCAAAGTTAATGTGGAATTTGGTTGTACTCCCAATCCTCGCGTTGTTCAAGGGTCAACTGTATACATATAACCCTCCCTTACTCTGGAAGATGGAGAAGGAAATGGCAGCCCACTCCAATATTCTTGCCCGGAGAATCCCATGGACAGAGGAGCCTGGCAGGCTACTGTCCAAGGGGTCGCAAGAGTCGGACACGACTTAGCGACTAAACTATTCATTACTGCAAATACTCCGGAAGAAGCCTACCTGGTCCCCACTATTCTCGGCAGGGACACTACCCTCTGTAAGCAACGACCCGCAACCCGGAATCCACGTGTAACCTGCCTCCCCTCTCCACCCATCCAGGAGAACCGACCCCTCCCGCCTCTCCAGGACCCCACGATGCCCGCCCCGCAGTGCGCCTCTTGCAACAAGGCGCGCGCCGCCCTCCGTCGTCCGCGCTCGGGCCAGGCTCTGTGCGGCGCCTGCTTCTGCGCCGCCTTCGAGGCCGAGGTGCTGCACACGGTGGTCGCGGGCCGCCTGCTGCCGCCCGGCGCCGTGGTGGCCGTGGGCGCCTCGGGCGGCAAGGACTCCACGGTGCTGGCGCACGTGCTGCGCGAGCTGGCCCCGCGCCTGGACATCTCGCTGCACCTCGTGGCGGTGGACGAGGGCATCGGCGGCTACCGGGACGCGGCGCTGGCGGCCGTGCGGCGGCAGGCGGCGCGCTGGGAGCTCCCGCTCACCGTCGTGGCCTACGCGGACCTCTTCGGGGGCTGGACGATGGACGCCGTGGCCCGCAGCACGGCCGGCTCCGGCCGCAGCCGCTCCTGTTGCACCTTTTGCGGGGTGCTGCGGCGCCGCGCGCTGGAGGAAGGGGCGCGCCTCGTGGGAGCCACGCACGTCGTGACCGGTGAGCGCAGGCGCGGCCCAGAGGGGGCGTGGTGGGAGGGACGCCTGCGCGGGAGAGCTTCGGGCGCCGTAAGGGGGCTGGAGTGCGTGCCCAAGGCGTAATGGAGACTATGAATGGCCTAGAGGAAAGAACCGAACACGGTAAAGGGGATGTGCGCATGCTCCAGCATGGCGGGGTGGTGGGGGCGGAGGGAAACAGGATGGGCTGTGCATTACAAAGACTTCGAGTCTTGGCAGCTGTCTTGGTCTACGTAGCTTGGAAGGGAGGGTGGGCGGTGGGAGAAGCGAGTGACAGGGGTTAGTCTCTGGGGATTAGGTCTTTGAGTCTTATCTTTAGTCGTCTCTAATACTCTCGGTCTCATGGCCCCCAGCTGTCTCTCTTCAGAATCCATCTCTGTCTCTGGACAGTATCTCTGCCTCGTAACTTCTTTTTCTTGTTGCCATCTCTTCTTTTCCATAACTCTCTTGTCTTCTCTCGCTCTCATCCATCCCTTCAACAAACAACAACTGGGCTTCTACTAAATGCCAGATCCAAGCTGTTATTAATATATAGAGTACGTATTACACACATTTGTATTATATATGCTCACATCATCCTCATCGGGCTATGGCTGAAAATACAGCGATGCCTAAGACTGACCCAAGCCCGTACCTTTGCACAGTTCAAATATAAAATGATAAACGATCATAAATGTTACTGGAAAAAATTACATGGTGCAAAAAGAGGACCTTATGGTGAGGAGAGAGGGGATGAGGAAGGGCTTTCGAGATCCGAGGGCTCTGGGTGAGGGGGTGAAGAGGAGTGGTGTTTGAGGTGGGTGGAGGTTGTTCCAGGCAGAGGGAACCATGAGGGAAACCATCTGTGCCGAGGCCAGTTTGAGGGGCCCCAGGAAGACCAGAGCAGTGGGCGGAGCTCGGATCCGCATTCCCCTTTTGATGGTGAGGCGTTACCATCTGATCCTTTGAGCAATGGGGAAATGGGTGGGCCTGACAAAGGCTCTGAAAAGTACACTAGGGCAGGGGTGAGGAGCCTGGGTTGGAGAGGCAAGGACGGAGCAAAGGAGATGAGCCGGGAGGGTGGCCGCTGCGGGTGGGCCAGGTGAGAGACGATGGTGGAGAGAATCAGTGCTTTTTTTTTTTTTTAAACGCTGTGTAAATATTTCATTACTTTCTCCCTGGTCTCTCTAAACAAGGATAACACAAAAACATTGCAGTCTGTGCCATCAAAGGCACTTGTGTCAACAACTATGAGTTTTCTGTGGCTGCTGTAACAAATTACCACAAATTGAGTGGCTTAAAGCAACATCAATGAGAAAAAACAACAACACAAATTATCAGGTTGCAGTTCTGGAGATTAAGGTTCAGGCAGAAGTCTCACTGGTCGGCATTCCTCTGAAGAATCTACTGGAAAGTCCATTTTCTTGCCTCTTCCAATTTTTAGAGGCTGCCTCTTGGAGGCCTCCTTCCTCCAGCTTCAGAGCCAGCAGCTGAGTCCTTCTCATCTTGCATCGTCTGACCTTGCTTGTGTCCCCACATCTTCCATCCTGACTCTTTGACTTTAAGGACCCCTGTCATTACCCTGGGCCTCCCATGTGGCGCTAGTGGTAAAGAACCGCCTGCCAATGCAGGAGACATAAAGAGAGGTGGGTTCAATCCCTGGGTCGTGAAGATCCCCTGGAGGAGGGTATGGCAACCCGCTCCAGTACTCGTGCCTGAAGAATCCCATGGACAGAGGAGCCTGGTGGGCTACACTCCTTGGGGTCACAAAGAGTCGGACGCCACTGAAGCGACTTAGCACGTCATTACCCTGGGGCCCACTTGGCTCAGCTAGGCCGCTCTCCCTGTATTAAGATCAGCTGATTAGTAACCCTCATTCTGTATGCGGTCCTGATCTCTTTTGCCATGGGACCCAATATATGTTCAGGTTGAGGGGGTGGGGGATTCTGCTTACCACAACAGCCTTCTTTCCAATTTCCATTAAATGACTTCCGTGTAGTCTTAAGTACATTTTTCTTTTTGTTGGGGGGGGGGGGGGCGGGGGTCTTTTTGGGCTTGTGGGATCTTGGTTCTCCAACTAAGGATTGAACCTGGGCCCTCGGCATCCAAAGCACAAAATCCTAACTACTGGACCGCCAGGGAATTCTCTGAAGTACACTTTTAACTGAGACTGAAATGACAGTCTTCCTGACCCAGGGATCAAACCCAGGTCTCCCGCACTGCATGCAGATTCTTTACCTTCTGTGCAACCAGGGAGGCTCTGAAATGATGGTTGTAGCCTAAAGGACTTTCACTCGCTAGCAGAGGGCCTGGTCTGCGATAAGTGGGGGTAAGTGAGGCACCCGGGCTGCTCCAGGGAGCCTGGGTGCGTCGCCCTCTCGTTTCTCGCCGGGTCCCCCCGCAGCCTCCCCCAGGCCGCCCCGCGGTGCCCCGGGGTCTCCTCCCGCGGCCCCCTCCTCACGGGTCCCGTCTCCCCTCTCCCAGGACACAACGCGGACGACATGGCGGAGACGGTGCTCATGAACTTCCTGCGGGGCGACGCGGGCCGGCTGGCGCGGGGCGGGGGCCTGGGCTCCCCGGGCGAGGGGGGCGCCCTGCCGCGCTGCCGCCCGCTGCAGCTGGCGTCGCAGAAGGAGGTTCCCGACCGCCGACTTCCCAGTCGGTCCCCGACTTCTAGAGACTCCAGTTCCCTGCCAGGATCCGGCGCCATGGGGGCGCGGGGCCGCCTGTAAATGCCACGGAATGAACCCGAGTTACCTGAGCCCGGCCTTCGTGTGCAGCTGGGAGAGAGACGGAACCTGTTACCTGCGATCCTGCAGACACTGGGGCTCTGGGCTCCTGGGTCTGGGGGCCGGGGACTCCTGGGTCTCAGAGAGGGGAGCGCTAAACGACCTTCCATTCCTGAGCGAGTGGGAATTAGGGGGCTGCTTGCCTGTACCTCTGTGGGATCTGAGCATGCTCAGATGGCCCTAACCCTTCTCGATCGCCTACTGCCTGCCTGGTGTTCGTGTTTGCCTGCAGTAGGAAAAGCACAGCCACGCGCCTGGATGGACATGTCAGTTACAGCACTCATGGTGTTTCTGTGTGAGCGCTGTGTGTACTGCAGGCGCTGGGCCATCTCTTTTCACCCGCACCACGATCTCATTGGCTGTAGCCCGAGGCCCATAACTGGCCCGAGGTCACCTCTCTGGAGCCCCACCTGGGGGCTCTCACCCAGGTCCTCCTGGGGCTCTTCAAGACGGTAGAATTAGTCCTTATTCCCACTACCACCTGAATCTCTGATGGATGAAGAGCAACTGGGACGGCTCTCCAGACCAGATTCTAGAGGCAGAGCTGGGTGAGCTTGGGTCAGTGACTCAATCTCTCGGATCTTCCATTTTCTCCGCTGACAATGGAATCAAGCCCTCCCACCAAAGCACTGTTTTGAATGTTTGATAAAAGCGCCCAATAAATGTGTCCTACTTGACTGTTCACACTAAGGTTTGGCCACCAGGGGGCGCTCGATTTCGGGGTTGCTGCCCTGCCGATCCAGACAGGCGTGAGGCTCAGAAACTGCCTGACTCCTGGGCAGTATTGGCGTCCTCAGCCCCACCTCCAAGTTTTGCTGGGCTGCTCCTTTGTTAGAAACGCCCTCCTTTCCCATCTTCCCACTCAACATCCTCCAGGGGCCTCCTGGAAGCGTCCCTGAATCTCTCCTCCCACCCTGCCCAGCCCAGGACATTGGGACTCTCCCAAACCCCAGCCGCTGGGTCCTGTCCTCTGGCCATCCACACTCTTTGGGTCTCTCTTTTCCTATTTAGATTGGGCTGGAGGGCTGGGAACAGATGTTCTCAGAGCCCCCTTTGAATTAATCGAGCATTAGGTTAATTATTCCTTCAACAAACACTTACTGAGCACCTCATCTGTGGCCCATGTGCCAAAGGCTAGAAATACTGCAGTGAGCAAAAGACGCCCCAGGCGCCATGAGGTTCACAGTCTGGGAGAAACAGACAATAAGTCAATGAATATATAATGTCAGGTAGTGATTAACACAACCAATAAAAATAAAGCAGGATTAGAGAGGGAGATAGTGAGCGCCAGTGTCCATGGTGGTCAGGGCATGGCCTCTCTGAGGAGGTTGCATTTGAGCAGAGACCTGAGTGAAGCAAAGGAGTGGATCATAAAGCTATCGGGACTTTCCTGGTGGCCCAGTGGTTAAGAATCTGCCTTGCAATGCAGGAGACATGGGTTCGATCCCTGGTGTGGGAACTAAGATCTCACACGTCAGGGGGCAACTAAGTCCCCCCACCCCACCCTCACCACAACACTGCGCCCACCCACCACAACTAGAGAGTCTTGGGGCTGCAACAAAAGATCCTGAGTTAACTAAGACTAAAGGCAGCCAACAAAAAAAAAATCATAGAGCCATCTTGGGGAAGACCTTTCCAGGCAGAAGGAAGTGCTGATGCAAAAGGCCAAGGGTGGGAATAAAGTTGGTAAGTCCAGGAAATGACAGGCAGGTGGTGTGGCCAGAGCAGAGGGCAGCGGGGAGAAGAGCAAGAGTCGAGATGCGGTGGTTGCCAGGGCGGGTCCTGCAAGGTCTCGCTTAGGCGGGAGCCCATGTCCCAGTCCTAGTTTGCCAGGCCCTTGCGGAGCACTCCTTCCTTGCGTTAAGCTCAGCGATAGGATAGACTGTGTTTTGATCCCCAGTTTTACAAATAGTAAATTTTTGGCTGAGAGATGTGAAGTGACTTGCCCAAGGTCACACAGTAGTAAATCAGTGAAGAAGCTGGGGCTATTCACCCTTTTCACTGTGCCGCCTGCTGGAAGCCAGGGGACTTGGGCCCTTGTTGCATGTCAGCCACTGATTCACCTTGTGGTTTTGGACAAGGGACTTTTCTTAATCGAGTTGCTCCCTTCACATCAGGAGGCGGGTGGTTGATTAGATTTCTGTTGTAGTTTACAGCAACACTAACCACCAGAAATATATTTATAATATGAGCCATATATGTAATTTAAAGATTTCGTATGGCCATATTTTTATTTATTTTTTTTCCATTTATTTTTATTAGTTGGAGGCTAATTACTTTACATCATTACAGTAGTTTTTGTCATACATTGAAATGAATTAGCCATGGATTTACATGTATTCCCCATCCCAGTCCCCCCTCCCACCTCCCTCTCCACCCGATCCCTCTGGGTCTTCCCAGTGCACCAGGCCCGAGCACTTGTCTCATGCACCCAACCTGGGCTGGTGATCTGTTTCACCCTAGATAATAT